GCTTCAGCACCAGCTATCCAGCAAAGAATTGGTGGTGGATCTTTCCATGGCTAGAGGCTATGATTAGAATGTGCTTCCCCAAACCCATGCACTAGAAACCTAACCCCCAGTGCAGCCGTGCTGAGAGGTGGTTAAATCACAAGGACCCTGCTTCCGTGAATAGATTATCATTATCACGGTGGGAAGGTCCTGATCAGGAGAGTAAGTTCATTATAAAGCAGATACAGCCCCACTTCTCCCCCTTGGTTGCTCCCACCTTGGGATGACACAGAGAGGAGGCCCTTGCTGGATGCTGACACCGTGGTCTTGGGCTTTCTGTTGCTGGAGGTAGGAAAGAATATGTCTGTGTCGTTTGGATCACCCAGTCTGTGGTACTTGAACGGCATTCCCTGGCAAATGTGTACGTAAACTGCTGGGTGGGCCCCACACTCTCTTTGAGGACAGTGTGGGGCTGGGGAGAAGGGGCAGGTGCTAGGGTAGGAGGGGCCTGCAGCCACACAGGTGAGGACAACAGAGGTCTGGGAGAGGGAGGGTCAGGAGCAGGGGCCAGGGCAGCTGAAGGAGACATCTCCACACCGTGGCAGAGTGGGGGAGGATTTGCTGACGGTCAGATGTGGGGCTCGCCATGGATGACCCTAGAGTTCTGTGTGAGCAGCGCTAGGTACGATCCTGCCTTTAATCAAGGGAGAAAAGTCTTCTTTAAAAGCACAGTCCCCTGAGGATCTTTCTAGAATCCCTTCCTATCCCACTTCATTTTGCCAACAGGAAATGAGAGCGCAGAGATCATTGAATGGATTGACCTCAAAAAAAGTGAGCAACTGGCTGAAAGCAAAAGTTCAAGTTCTAGAATGAATGCCAATTAAGACTGCAGAGCTTACTGTAGAGAGGAAAAATAAAACGCCCTGCATAACAGTTAAAATGGTAAAACGTCACTTTTCAAAAAGACTTGAACAACCCATGGAGGGAAATAAAGACCATGTAATTCAAAGAAACTGACACACACACACACACACACACACACACACACACACACACACACATCCTCCAACAAGATCGGACCAAATCCACATCCAATGTGCCTTTTAGAGGCACTGAAGAAAAATTTTATGTGCTACATAATTTTGCTTAATGCTCATTGCCATTTATTGGACATTTATGGTATGCTGTGCAATGATCTGACTGACTATATCATTTGATCTTCACAAAGAGCCCTAATGAGGCTGGTCTGTTAGTGTTATCCTGGTTTTATGGATGAGGAATGAAAGCCCATCGAGGCTATGGAACACACCTCGGGTCACACTGAGAATAAGCAGTGTGTCCAAGATACAAATCCTGACTCTAGACTGCACTCACTTGACTGTGAGGTGGGATAAATACGAACCCTCTTTGGGACTGGGGATAAATACAGACCATGCACGTTTCTTTCTTTGTGCTCTGTGCGCCTACCCCCAAACCTGATGAGACTCAACTATAAATAAACTCTGTTGGCAGGGTCAGATGAGTAAAAACCTGAAAAGATTCAAGGTCATCTCAGAGGTCATCTCAGAGGAACACACACAAGATGTCAAGAGGTCTAGAGAAGCCCTTTATGTAGAGAACACCGTGGCTGTCTTGAGACATTTGAAAGCATATCCTAGGAAAGGAAGACCAGAATTGAGGCAAAGGAAGTCCGTGTTACACAGGGAAACTGTTAGCACTTAATCAACCCATCTCTAGAATGGGAACACTGTCTCGGGACTCATCAAGCTCCCCTATGCAGAGACTGGACAATGAACAGGAACGCAAGGTAGACATCGGATCCCTTGTCCACACTGCCTTCGAGTTCCCTTTCACAGGCATGACGACTGTTTATAGAAAAGTAGGTGTCAAAACCCAAGGTTGCTTAATTCCTCATTTGGTTTCCATAGCGATACATCTTCAGGATTAGGTCTCAGTTCTTGAACGATGCTCTACAGGGGACTTCCTAGTAGGTCTCGGGGGACAGTGACGAAACTACTGTGGGAAGGCCCACGACTCTTCACAAAGCGTTATGTGGGGTACCTAGGAGCTGCCAGGTGGGTAGGGAAGGGCTCCTATGCTGGGAGACTTGGACAGGAGAAGACGGACATCATGTTGGGGGTTTTGGGTAGTGAAAGGGTGGGAAGCATTGCTCCAGACAACAGTTACAGGATAAAGTGGTCCATGACCTTGATCTGCACTCAGATCCTTCTCCAACTCCCAGGAGACAATGTGGATGCTTAAAAAGAAATCTCTCCAATTTGTATTTATTTGGGAAGAGGATTTTTCTCTCTCAGGATGAGTGGTCTTGTCAGAATGCTGGATATATTGATTCTCTTTGTCCTGCTGCTGTCTGAGGGGAGCCGAAGCCTTGGCCTGGGTGACAGTTGAGGAGGCATGAGGAGGTGGCAGGGCCCAGGGTGGTACAAGTGTGCAGCTAGTCCCCCTCTTCTTTATCCTGGTCTTCTCTTTTCTGATTCATTTTACTGAAGAGCCCAGTTCAGTGAAGGACCTACAATCATTCTAAACTCGATTGAAACATTCCACGAATTCCTACTGAGACTATAAAATGGCGTGTTTGAATGAAGAAGATGCATTAAGTAATATCCTAATAGGCTATTTCCGGTATCTCTGTTTAGATAATCAAAATTCATCTGAGTCATAAAATCCTAAACCCTGAGTGGGGGTTACAGGAGCACAAAAGTCCCAAGGACCCATGTGATGAAGGCATGGACCAAAGTCTTAAGGAAAGCTACAGGAGAGAGCTAGGGGACATGGAGTAGTGGGACCCAGGCTGGACTCAACCTACTGTACAGGACACTGCTTTCTAAAATACGTTTGTGGAAATAACAGTTCTTTTAAGATTCACTCTTACTGTGTATAAGTGTTTTCCTGTGTGTAAGCAGCATACGTATGCCTGGGGCCACAGAGGCCCAAAGGGGGCACCAAATCCCTGGAACTGGAGCTACAATCAATTGTGGGCAGCCACGTAAGTGCTGGGAACCAAACCCAGGCCCTCGGCAAGAGCAGTCACTGCTCTTATCCACTAAGCCATCACACCAGCTCCTGAAGCAATGGTTTTTGCTTTTTTAATTTCTTTGAATTTCCAATCTGTAACAAATGGATGTTTTCAAAAAATGTAATAATTATTTTAAAGAAATGAAGGCTTTTAATATTCAATAAAACAAAAATATCTCATCTAATTGCTATAAAAGTATTGAAAAGTGTGTTCTTAATTTCTGCAGTGTGGGTACAAATAGGTAATGAGCATTTTGTGGGCATTCTTTGAGTTGGTGGCAGTGGGGAACTTCCTCAACTTTTTCTAGTTTTTTTTTTTTTACTCAGTTTCCCTAGTGAAGGACATGGTTGGCAGTGCACATGTATTGTATATTTCAAGGTGTCATTCAAAAATTAAGCTATTATTGCCCTCATTAACAATAATGATAGTTGGAACCAGTGGCAAGGGATCAACTGTAATTTTGTTGTTTTTCTTTGGCAACAACGGAGAATATTATGAGAAAGCAATTAAGCCAGAATTGTTAGAGGCAACAGCTTCCCTTGGAGTTAGCTATTTCCCAACACACATCCCTTGGCTGGGAAGTAGAAAGGTGACCCATGGTCACCTTTTGTTTGACTCTCCACTGTAGCAGCCCATGGAGTCTCCAGACCACGATTTTCCCATCTGTATTTCTCAATAGACACCATCACTATAATTGGCGATATAGCCCCTCACCTCAGATGGAAATACTCTCTCCTTGTTATTAGGGAGCTCGGTCAAACAGTGTGCATCGGAGTCATTGAGAAATCCCAGACATCCCTTAGACACAGAGCGGGTGGCAGTGGTCCTGGTATATCTGTCAGAAGCAGTGTCAGGGGTGAATGATCTCCCTTAGTGGAAGGCAGACTGCAGACGTGAGCCCGGGAAGAGAATTCTTTGCAGGCTTCCCAGAAATGCATCCGGGACACTTTCTAGCGAAGGATGGGCTATACCAGTGGCTTCCAGACACTAGTGGCTCCCATGCTTATCCCTGAACTCCAATGCTCTGCCTCCTCCTTCTTCAGGAATGGGGAAAATCTCTCCACGCTTCTAAACTGCTTACCCCGTCCTCCCCTCCTGCCAGTTCTCATCTCTTCCCGATGCACTTAACCCGTTTCCAACACCATGGAGTTGCCACAAAATTAAAAATAAGCCATAGAGTATGGAATATAAAATTATTCTCTCCCCATTTGCCCACAGCTATTAATGATCACACATGTATATTATTTCGCAAAATGGCAATGTTTAGAGAAACTATATGGCCCTACTGAGCATATGTATACATGCTACTCCTTTGTGTGTGTGTGTGTGTGTGTGTGTGTGTGTGTGTGTGTGCAGGTAGGAGTGTCATTCCTCAGGCACCTCCTACTGTTTTCTGAGACAGGGTGTCACTGGTCTGAAACTTGTCACGTGAATTAGGCTAGCTGGCCAACAAGCCCCAGGGATCCACCTAGCTCTGTTTTCTCACTACTGGGACTGCAAACTTGTACCATTACGCCTGGCTTTTCTCTACATAGATCTGAGGATTGAACCTGGATCCTCATGCTTGCGAGGCTGCTTCTTACTTGCAAGGCTGTTCCTCATCTTTTTAAAAAAATTAAATGTGCTTACTCAGTACTTTGACAATGGACATCTACTATTTCTCCCATTTTGTGTGTGTGTGTGTGTGTGTGTGTGTTGGGAGTTGAGACAGGGTTTCTCTGTGTAGTCTTTGGAGCCTGTCCTGGAACTTGTTCTGTAGACCAGGCTGGCCTTGAACTCACAGAGACCTACCTGCTTCTGCCTCCCAAGTGCCGGGATTGAAGGCATATGCCACCACTACCCAGCTAACCCTTTTCAATACTCAGATTTGACATGCCTTTACTCTCAAGCCTTTTTCTGTTCTTCGAAGGGAAAGGAATGAGGTTTCACACTCTCCAGTCCCCAGCCTGTCCCCCCTCCCAGGCAGTCCCCTTCCCACTGTTACCTTTCCAGCCTCTGCATGGTCATAGCAAGTGTCTTGTTGAGTTCATCGATCATCCTGCAGCCCGAGGGGTGCATGGGCAAGGTGCCGGTAGAGGACGGGAGGTGCTGGCCATGGCTGCCATACTGCAGTTGGTGCTGCATCTGGGATGGCAGGACAGTGTGGTGGTGCTGGGCCACGGCCTGCTGGCTGCTCTTCTGGGCTGCGTAGGTTGCCAGGGAGAGCTCTGGCCCCCCGACAGGCATACATATCAGGACTTTCTTTGGAGGTAGCGGAGGCGACAGTTTCACTGGCAGACAAGGCAATTTCACAGGGGCGCCAGGATCTGCAGCAGAGGGAGGGTGAGAAGACGATGTGAGTTGTGGGGAGGGGGCATTAAATGAAACCTAGAACATCGTGTGTGTGCACTCTGGGACCACAGCCTCCTGGAGGGTGGCTGCTATTCGGTAAACATTGACTAGCTTGTTTTCTGGCCAGACTACTCTGGCACCTGGATAGAATGGGAGATGGGTCTCAGGGTTCATCAACCAAGGCTTCTCAGCAACCCAGGTAAGATGGCATCAGGCAGGCGTGTGCCGTTGAAACAGGAGCTGATAAAGAAACCTTTCCCAGGACCTACCGCGATGACTACACATTTGCCATTGTTAAAATAACATGCTTTCAGCTGACAGGGTCCAACTTGCCTACACTGACACAGGACAGAAGCCCATACTCTGTTCAAGTCCCTCCCTACAAGTGACCATGCTGTTGTCCTTGATTCCTTAGCTCTCACTGCGAAGCTGCTTTGTAAGGCTTAGTGGCTGCAGAACCTGACTCGGGTACACCGAGAAGGGGTGGGGTGTGAGCATTGTTGCTGGGCTGGTGGGTTCACTCACAACCAACTATGGTTTAAGCCACACCCTTAAGGGACTAAAGAGTTTATCATACATACCGCACACATACACCTGAAGCTAATTTTACATTTTTTCAATAACTTTAATCATGAACAAAAGGTTGCACACAGCAAACCATCAGAAAGTGGCCTCTTTGGTGAGGCACAGGCTTAGAAACCAGTGCTCAGAGAAAGCCGAGGGAGGAAGATTACAAGTTGAACCCATCTTGGGCTACAGAGTAAGATCCCATCTCAAAACAAAACAAAAACAAAGAACCAAAAACAAAACAAAAAAACCAAGCTTAAGAGCTTGGTGGATTCAGAAATACAAATACTGTAGATTTTTTTCTCATATAGGAACCCTAGATTTTAATTTTTATGTGTGTGTGAGTCTGTATGTATGTGATGTGGTGAACAGGTGTGTGATTGTGTGTGCATGTGAGTACATATTTATGGGCATGAGTGTGTATTTGTGAGTGTGCATAGGTGTGTACATGTGCTTTATGAAATAAGAAAGAGGCCATGAGAGGAAAAAACACTTTAGGGGACAGGAAGACATAAAAGGGAGGGTAATATGATATATAGTATATGGCAGGTAGGGTAATACAATATATAGTATATGGCAGGCAAACACAAGGGAGGCTCCTGGAAGGAGGGGGCAGTAAGCAGGGAGTAGGGGGATTGGGGAGGGGAGCGGGAGAAAAAGATCAACAAAAACCAAGTATATTTGAAAATTCTGTAATTAAACCCATTACTCTGTATGCTAGTTTAAAAAAGTAATTAAAACAAACAAACAATCAACAGTAACCCCTGTCCTCCCACGGACTGGGGATGTGGCTCATTGGCTCTGGGTTCCACCCCCAGAACAGCAAAACCAAACTGAGAACAAACACTGAAGAGCGTCACTTGTCTCACCATGGTGGCACTCAGGACAATGTATTCTAGAGTAGAATCGAGCCCTTGGCTCTGTGACAGCGTCATTAAACTCCCCTAGACAGTCCCCATTAAGATGGGTCAGGGTCAGACAAACTCTCAGAGAGCATTCTGGGAGACATCTTGTAGTTCTCTTGCTTCGTATTCCCTGAATTCCTCTGGTCCGGGAGAAGGGTGAGCTTGTCTAGGAGAATCATGTTCAGAAGGGTGTGCCACGGAGGTGTCTTCTTGTCACGGTCCTGACCATTGATCTTTGGAGTCCCCAATTTCTCTCCACCCGGTGTTTGTGTCCTTCCACCTAATTTATACTGGAGTACAGACAGGACTAGGCTCCCTTTAAAACTGAGGACTTCCTTAGGCTGCCTGCTGCTTGGCTCAGGCCTTCAGACCCACACTTAAGTAGTTTGCTCTGAGAAAAAATGTTTCCTAGGGTACCCAGCAAGGCTCTGGGCAGAGTTACCTCTGTGACACCACTTTCCACCAACAGCCTCTCCTCACTCGGTAGCCCACAAATTCAGGTCTGCCCCCTCAGCTTGCTCTGCCAAGTGGCTCTTGGGCTCACTCACCATCTCATGCAAGCTGCTGAGGTCTTCCTCAGCCTCCTCTGGGCTCCTTTCCCTTAGCACACTGTCTGCCAAGGAACAGGAAGTAAGCGCTTATGGTTCCCTGCCTCTCCTTGGGTCCCAGTGGTCTGTCCTCAGCACAGCCCCTGCATACACCCTCTATTCCCAACTTCCAATGTCCTTGACTACGTGAGGTTTCCGTACCCTGGGTCTTAGTATAGTTCTTTCCTGTGGTTTGGAATATTCTGCTATGTCTTCTTGGCCAATTCCTATTTTGCCTTCCAGATTTAACTCACAAAAAAACCTCTCCCAAACTTCTTGGCTCATTGTATTGTGCTTTCCCCACTATACAGAGAATACACATTGAGTTGACATTAACAATAACAACAGTAATGACAGTGACAGACATTTGAGTCACGCTCAGATCAAGTTCCTCTTATCTGAAATGCTTGGAACCATTAATATTTCAATATAGACTGTTCCAGATTTTAGAATACGCACACATTCACACATGTATTGGGGATGGGGCCCAAGTGCAAACATGATATCCATTCAAGTTTCATATATATCTTTATATAAAGAGCAGGATAAATCATAAATTTTAATTAAGATTTGTTTTACAATTATGAATGCATCTGTATGTGACTATTGCATGTGAGTATGGGTGCCCTCTGGGATCAGAGGCACTGGATCCCCTGGATCTGAAGTGGCAGGTGGTTCTGAGTCACTCGATGTGGGTGCAGGGAAACTAACCTGTGTCTCCTGCAAGGCCAGTGTGCTCTTTTAATTGATGAGCCATCCCTCCAGTCCAGTTTCAGAGATTTTAAATAACACTGAACAAGAAGTGAGGTTCCTACACAAATGGACCATCAGGCAGGATCACCCGTGGCTTCACATCTGTACTAAAAATGTTGGATTCTCAAACATTTCCAACTTCAGAGGTCTAGACGAGGAATATTTCACCTAGGCCATATTTACTAACCACAAGCCAGACACTGCTGTTCTAAGTGATTGTCAACAATAACCAACTTAGTCACCACTTCCTGTGAATGTAACTGCCTCCTTGGCCAGAGGAGAGCAAACGGGTTTAACTTAAGGCATCCTTACCATCTTGTTCAATGCCCTGCTGGTCTGACCAAAGAAGCAAAACACAAGTTTTCCACATATTTCTCTGGTTTTCTAAGATTACTGACTCCCCTTCTTAAGTTAAAAGTCTCTCATATTGTGTGTGTGTGTGTGTGTGTGTGTGTGTGTGTATGGAGGGGGACATGTGTGTATGGAGGGGGACGTGTGTGCACAGGCATGGAAGTCAAATAACCATTTGTAGAGGCAGTTCTCTCCTTCCACCTTTACGTGGGTTATGGTGATCGAACTTGGGTCTTCAAGCTGACACGGTTGGGAGGCAAGAGCCTTTACTCACTCAACCATTTTCCCAGCCCTGAAATCTTTAAATAAACGAGTATTTCTCAAGGATTATTGGCGAGTGCACAAAATAATATTGTTTGAGGTATGAAAAAATAAGCTTTCTGAATGAAAAGCGGTGTTTCCCCCACTGTGGAGCAGATGCAGCAAACAGTCGTCCACTTCTGCTCGCTCCGTGCCTGGCCCCTGCAGCAGAGCAGTTGCGCATGCTCCTTTGCTGAGCTGATGCTCTGCTGTGCCTGCTGCCTGAGGCATTCCCAGGGAAGCCTGAGACGTGTTGGATCTGAAGGGAGCTCACTCTCAGGAATGGAGAACAAACACGCATGTTTTTTACACATTTAAGCAAACACTTTTTTTCCCCCTCCGAAACAGGGTTTCACTGTAACTTTTGAGCCTGTCCTGGAACTAGCTCTTGTAGGCCCGGCTGGCCTCGAACTCACAGAGATCCACCTGCCTCTGCCTCCCGAAGGTATACACCACCACCGCCCATCAGTAAACACCTTTTTTCAAGGTATAATGAAATATTAAATAAAATCCAAACAGAAGAAAACCCACTACACCAGCAACTGAAGTTAAAATAATTTACGTATGAATACTGAAAAAAACGACTGGCTTGAGCATTTAATTTTTTAAAATATTTTTCTTTCAGGGTACCAGCTTCTCAAAGGTGTGTCTCACTGGCCTCACTGGAAGGCTTGGCAAAGACTCACTTGTAATCCTCACCTCCAGAGCTCAGTTACTGAGGGCTTCTGATGGAGTCTCCCTGGAAACAAGTGTCCAGAGATAGATCATTCATGTCAATAGGGGTCACGTGTGGCAAGCATGTCACAAGTTACAGGGCTAAGAAGCAGAACCCAAACTTCTGGAGCTAAAAAAAAATGTTAAGGTGCATGGCACCATGAAAGCATTGGTAGCTTTAGCAAAATGCACAACCCTCTCCTCAATGTTTCATTTTTCAGTCTGCAAGATGGGACGAATCATGCTGTCACATGACTTAGGGACATTTTTAAGATATGGAAACTGGGTGCCATGGTGCCCAGGAGATATGAACTGTTGTTCTTGTTACTACCGTCATCATCGATGAACATTTCCTGTAGGAAGGCCTTCTTCTACTTAAGGCTGGCCTAGGACACTCCCAGGTCCAGGACCTCCCTCCTTCATTTTTCTTGACTTGTGGCTGGCACTATTTGCAGTGGGTAGCTGTGATGGGTTGATCAAATCTCAGTGAGTGTGGTCATTTCCTCCTCCATCTTCCTGTCCATCAGGAACTGAGCCTGGTACATAGTAGATGCTCAATATTGTTCCGATTTTCTTCTCATCATGCCCATAGGTCCGTGGGAAAAGGTGGCACATGGCATCCAGTGTGTCTTCCACTAACGAGGTCCAAATCAAAGTGTAATCTATATCTAAATGGGTCTGAGAATCACCCTCTAAGACACTTTCTTAATTCCGTCCCCCAACATGTGAATTGAGAATGCTCCAAGGCTTCTCTGAGGAGATGTAGCTAGCTGCTACTCTGAGAGCACTTACTGAGCT